CTACAGCGTGGCACAAGGTGTCATGGATCTGCTTGATCAAGGAATTCCTCAACTTCCGAGGAACAGCTTCTCCCAAAAAATTCGACAAAGCAGCTAAGGCTGGGTGCGATGGTCGAACTTGTTTAAACAACTTGTTATTAATTATTTGCCACTTGGGAAATTTATTCGGCTTCTGGGCAACGTTATTCAAGAGTTGTGTGTACCAGACATCTGTTAGTTCTGGTTGCGGCATCTCGGAAACATCAACCGGATTTGGAATATCTGATGATGACACGGGGAGGATGGACGAAACGGCCAGCTGAGACACGGAGTCCAGAACAGGGAAAGATCGAGATAATGTATCAGGAACAATGTTTTCTTTACCTTCTTTGTGCTCGATAGTATAATCAAATTGTTGCAGTTTCATGGCCCACCGCGCGAGCCGACCAGAGGGGGATTGGAGACGATTCAACCACACTAAACTGAAATGATCCGTGATAACGGTAAATTTTGAACCCTCGACATAAGGTCTAAGTTTTTCTATCGCCCATAAAACCGCTAAACATTCGCGCTCTGTGGTACTATAGTTTCTTTCAAGACGTGAAAGAGATCGAGATAAATAGCAGACCACCTTCTCTCCTTCCGGATGCTGCTGGGTGAGAACGGCACCGATACCAAAGCCAGAAGCATCCGTTTGGATAGTAAACGGGAGAGTGAAATCCGGGCAACACAAACAAGGTGCACTAATGAGGTATTCCTTCAGAGCCTGAAAGGCCATATCGCATTCTGATGTCCACACAAATTTCTTATTTTTGCGCAAAAGATTCGAAATAGGAGCTGTCACACTAGAAAAATTTGGTACAAAACGCCTGTACCAAGAAGCTTACCCAAGTACGCGCCGAACTTCCGAAACACAAGTGGGAACTGGCAGATTAATAATGGCTTCAACTTTTCCAGGATCAACCCTCAATCCATTTGCGTCTACGATATATCCCAGATACAATAACTCCGGACGGCAAAAGTTACATTTTTCTCCAGCTACAGTTAGATTTGCTGCTTGCAAACGAGAGAATACTTCTTGTAAAATTTCGATATGTTTCTCGAAAGTTTGCGTGACAATAAGTATGTCGTCCAAATAAACAAAACCATGAGGCTCTAATTTTGGACCTAACACCCGGTCAATTAGCCTTTGAAACGTTGCAGGAGAGTTAGCTAAGCCCATCGGCATTCTCCGAAATTGAAAGAGGCCACGACTAGGTACCGTGAACGCCGTAAGTGGTGGTAAAGATTCAGTGAGTGGTACTTGGAAATAGGCTGATTTTATGTCCATAGAAGATAGATATCGCACATCCCGCAATTTATCTAATGTAGCCGAAATATAAGGAATAGGATATGCATCCTTCTCTGTAACCTGATTCAACCGCCGATAGTCAACACAAAAACAATAACTATCATCCTTTTTCTTTACTAAAATGATAGGTGATGACCAAGGACTAGTTGATCGTTCCACGATACCCTCATCTAATAATTTGCTCAATTCTTCGTCAATGTGCCTCTGTATCATAGGTGAAACCGGATAGTATCGCTGTTTTATTGGCGCCGAAGAAGTTTTTATTTCGTGTTCAATGAGAGTGGTGCATCCTAACTTAGACCCCATTTTGGCGAACGATTGGTCCACTTCTTCGTTGAAAGTCTGCCATTGTCCCACAGAAAGGTCATCCTTAGAATTTAAAATTAATGAATTGACATTAACTTCCGGTTCTGTTGCAAAAACCCATTCACCCCTACGTAAATCTGGCACAATTTCCATTTTTTTCCAAAAATCCACCCCAAGAATCAATGAGTGTTGTAACTTTGGTACGACCAGAGCCGAAATAACTTTGACTTCATCCTGTACATTCATAGGCAAATCAACCGTTCCAATACTGCTACATGTTGCCCCATTTGCAACTGTACAAGTAACAACTCTACTAATATCTAAGTTAAAATTCAATTTTTCTAACAGTTTCCATCCAGGACCACCTATTATAGTATGTGATGCCCCTGAATCCAGAAGACCCATTATATCAATGCCTAAGATCGAAATTTTCAAATACGGGCGCTCATCATTCTGAGCATGCGCTAAAATAAAATCCAAAATTGCTACCTGTTTAGAAGGCAAGATACTTCCTACAGAAACAGCAACAGGGGTGACCGCTTGACAAGAGGAGATCGCTACACGGTCAGTTACCGTCTCCCTCGGGAGTTTCCCGAACGCGAACATTTAGGACATGATCTTACAGTATGATCTGGCATACCACAACGGAAACAATACTTATTTCTCACATCAGCAGTACAATCGCCAGCTTTGTGTCCCGAACCTTTACAATTCCAACAAACTGTAACGATGTCTATATTACTAGAGGAAGGGCCAGCTGTGGCCACATCTGTATAGACATACGCCAAATTGGGCTCCATGAGAGGGCTTCTACTACGTGGTGGGGGTACAAAAGATTCGATAGCCTCTTTTCGGGCCTCTAATTGGCGTCATAACTGAAGTAAGTGATTTGTGGAATTGATTTTGATTAATCCCAACTGACTTTGATAAAATGGACTCATGTTGCGCAACAATATCTTAAGGCGGGCGGCCTCACCTACTGACACGGTTAAACGATTGAACATATTTGACATTATCGCCAAATACATTCTCATAGACTCATTAGGGCCTTGTGTACGACGCTTGATTTCCTGTAATAGTTTCTCATTGAAATTTGGAGGGTGAAATTGAAGCCTTAACTCGGAAACTATATCTGACCAACTATGTACTTGATCCCGAATTGCCCTATACCAAATTAGTGCCTTGCCAGCGAATAAATCCGTACCACAATTCAAGAGCTGATCTTTAGGGACGTTTCTTGATCTACACAAGTTCTCGACATTCTCCAGAAAGGCATTCAGTGACAATTTGACATTATCTCCTGTAAATTTTGTCAAATTCCACCTGGAAACTGGAACACTGTAATTATGATTCGGTGGTGGAGATGACGTTACAAAATTCGACTGCGGTGGGGGATTTGCCAATGAAGGTTGAGGATCTACCTCCGCATCAGAGCTTTCACTTTCTGAAGTACTAGAGGAAGTGGATAGAGGCTGCAAAGCACTGATTTCTAATGGTGTTGCACCCTGTTGGGAAAGCCGTTTGAATTTTCTAACTTTTGATTTCAGCGAGGATTGCAAGTTCAAGATGTCTACCAAAAATTTTGACTTCGGAACATGTTCGGTATCTTTACTTGAGACAATTCGATCCGCTCGGTAGAAAGAATGATTCAATTTAGTGACGATTTTTAGGTAGGCTGGACTCGAATCACTGTCAGAAAAACTGTCAATCATATCAGATAACTCTCCAATCTTGATACTTAGATAGTCAAAATCCTCCTGACAAGTGAAAGGATACACGGGATAAGAAAGTTTTGTCCCAGATTTCTCTAACTTGAAATAACCTCGTAAACATTTGCGCATTTCCTCCACCGTATTTTTATCCGTTACTCCTCTAATTGCTAATTCATAACCTAATTCCTCCTTCTCAAGGCGATTTATATCCATTTTACCTTCCATAGTTGTGCAAGATAAAAAAAATGACAGAATCAGAAAAACGACGCTAGGCGTCGGTAGGCATCGGTAGGCGTCGGAAGCGTCGGAAGAAAAAAAAATAATTACCTAAACACCAAGGTCTGATATAGAACTCTTTACTTCGATTGAAAACGATAAACAGCGCCTATTTATTATAAAAACAGTAAAGGACGCTAGGCGTCGGTCCACAACAAAAAACTCCAATGTATATTCATATACCTTCACCGTTAATGGGTACGCTGGATGGAAATTGCTAAACACAAATCCAAACAGGTTTTTATAGACCCGAAATTATTCGAAAAGAAAATCAAACAAAAAAAACTCGAGTATCGATAAGAATACCTATTATCTATGCTGCTATCAATAACAATCATTATAGCGGCAGGTATATATAATACGCTTCAGACTATCAACGTCTGAAAGAAAAACCACTGTATGTAATACAACAATATTTACAAGATTGACGCTCGACAAAAAAAATACTTGAGATGAGTACCGCGTATATACCAAGGTACCTATGCTACCAGTTCACTATATATATTTATATAGAAATATTCTAAATGGTGCAACAAAAAAAATTTCCCACACTGTGAATGGATGTTTATGGTGCAACAAACAGTAAATAAACACAATGAAACTTATAGCTTTCAAACTCTGTGATTGTCTGCCGCCGAATATATTGAAAATGTCAAACAGAGCGTCGCGATGCTGCTGCTGCTCAAAAATATCCTATTACTATGTAATGGATTCGAAGAAATTAATTTCCTTGATGAATTATTGAAAAATAAGTGAAATCTGACCCAAAAACGTTGAAATCTCAAAAACGACGCTAGGCCCCACGTTGGGCGCCAAATTTGCCACGTGCTTATCTCGAAAGAACAAAAACGGGTGCCCTGAAGCACGAGCAAAGGGGTAGCTCAGTACTCAGTCGGGTATAGGGTGAGTTCTATAAAAACAAAGTAATTATTGAGGGCGCCACCAACTTACATAATATGGCAAGTTCAAGTTGGAAAACTTCCCTGATCTTGATGGGTCCCGCTTTTTGAACCGTATCGTCAAACAAAAAAAATGTTGGTAGGAGTTTATCAATGAGAACACATAATCTCTTTCCCAAGTTACTATCGTATTTGTTTATTCACTTATTATGTTACTTCGTCATCAATGTGGTGGTGAAAAAGGTTTCCTGAGTAAATATTGTACGTGAAAAATCATATATGTATGTGGGCAGAAATAATGATTAAAAACCAGCCCAACAAATCCTTCCACAGAAGATCAATTTAGCTGATTTCTCTTATCACACACGTGAAAAACGGTAACAACAGCTATATTGCACATAAATAAAATAAGGCCAACATATCCAAATTATTGAATGAATGTCAAATTCATTTATGTACAAAGGCACTTATCAATGGCTAACCGACATCTTTTCTTTTCTCCAACGTCAAGCACCCTTCTCCCTTTCCACAAAATTCCAAATTCCTCTTGAGGTCATCCGAGATGAATAGTCCATCTCTTTCCTCGTCTTGAGCATTCAAATTCCTATTTCGAAAAACATATAGGCACAGAATGTGAACTCCAAATGACAGTTGAATACCCGAACTTTTCCGAAATTCTTCGACCGAGTCTGCTCCTACCCAGTGTATCTCTGAAGTGCGGTGTCTGTGAATAAATATAGATGAAGAACACCTCCTGATTCCAAGGTCGCTACAGACAAATTAGTGGAACACCCATAGTTCTCCTTAATAATTACTCACAATATGACGGACATCAGCTGATTAGCTACTGGCCTGCCACCATATGACTGCGAAAGCAACAAGTGCGTTATCAAAACAATATCAAAAACAAAACAATACCGAATAGCTGATCAAATTGCCCGAGGATAGCCTAACAAACTTTGAGATTGAGTAGACAAAATAAAAGGTGAGATATACCTATCAATCCTGGAGAAAACTGGATATTCATATTGAGTGAGTGTTTGGTTATTTTACTGGAATAACGATCTCCACTGTCACGGGTGACCACTGTTGCCTTAACATAAAGAAACCCACGATTTAGGGTGAACTTATGATATAACACGACGAGATGCGATGATAATAGGTATGAATACTTTATTTCGGGAATTCAAATTTATTTAATGAGGATACGAAAATATAACGTTACAAATTTTGCAGTGAAGTTCTTAGAAGCATCAGATAGGACATAATTTTTGTAATAAACTTTGTCGCCGACAGCAAATGATAAAGGACGACGTCTCAAATTGTACCGAGTACTAGAGCGAGTATGCGCTTGATCCAGTCGCTTTTTCACATCTGCAAAAATCTTATTGAACTCCCGGGAAACAATTTGTCTAGACGGAGGTATTTTAGTATCATTTTCAATATTTGGATGATTATAATCTTCACCGAAAGAAAAATGTTCGCGACAAAAGTTTATGAAAAACGGCGTCAAGCCGGTGGCCTCATGAACTGAAGTACGTATTGCGCAACCAAGTTTAGGTAGTAGTGTATCCCATTTCTTGTGATTGTCATTGATGTAACAAGATATCATGGTCTTGAGGACCTGATTAACCCTTTCTACAGGGTTTGCCTGGGCATGATATAAAGGAGTATAGCGAATATTCACTTTATACTGTTGACAAAGATTACGAAACAAGTTTGAACGGAACTGTACACCATTATCACATATTAGGTACTGTGGACAAGAAAACATTAGAAAAACATGTTCTTCCGTCATTCGCGTAACGGCAGCAGCAGTTGCGTCTCTAAGAGGAAAAAATAATGAAAATTAACTCAACGTATCAGTCACTACATAAACAAACTTATTCCCTTGAGTGGATCGAGGAAGTGGGCCGAAAAGATCCACACTAATCATTTGCCATGGTAAAGTAACTTCGGCATGTTTTCCCATATATCCAGACGGAGGTTTCAGAATTGGCTTCTGTGCTAAACAAACAGGACATTTCCTTACATATGCAGCAACATCCGCACGCATCTTAGGCCAATAGTATAAGTTTTTAATGCGTTCGAATGTCTTGAAAATTCCGGTATGACAAGCTACTGTACTATCATGACAGGAGCTGATGATCTTTTTACGGTCATACTTAGGAACAACCTCCTCCAAAAAATCGTTTTGGTGACGAAGCACCGGATATTGACATGAAACATACTTATGGAGCTTTTCATCTACTACACGCCATTGTGGATACTTAAGAGGATTTTCGCGAATTTTAATTATCATATTTTCGAGCCAGGAATCTTAACGTATAATTCCACATGTTCTAACGGTCTGTACCTCGATCACCGAGCGAGATAAAACATCGGGAACAATATGGTCTTCCTCCTTTCGATGAATAATGTCGAAATTGAATTGTTGAAGACGTACTGCACAACGAGCCAAACGCCGGTTGGTTCTTTCAATTTATGTAAACATACCAATGAATGATGATCAGTTATTACCGTGAATTTGTATCCCTCTAAATATGGACGAAGCTTTTCGATGGTGTACAACACCGCGAGACACTCTCTCTCTCTGTAGTACTAAAATTTCGCTCTTGTCGCGTGAGCGAACGACTAATATAACAGATAACATGTTCACCGTCGTCAAATTCTTGGGATAGAACTCCTCCAATTCCGAATGCAGACGCGTCAGTTTGTACTTCAAACGTTGGGCGCCATTTGTAACCAATTAATAATTAATAGGTGTTTTACACAAACACTGGTTTAGGCTGAATACCCTCAATCCAAAGATATGCAGGATCGAGCAAGATTCTCAGTTACAAAAATAGTGTTTATAGTGCCCAATTATATGTAGTGGAAATTAGACACTGACTAACTCAGTGGGACACTGGGGTGAGTACGGTTGGCAGGGTGAAATTATGATCCAAGAGGTGTATGTATCATTTACTAAAACTGCGAGAATCTAATAATTCACAAGGTAATGATGGACAATGTTACGTAACAGTAAGGTTCAAAATATCCAAAAAGGTAATACTAAAATGTTATTCATTGCCAAACAAATAGATACCGAGGTGATCACTGTGGTGTACAAATGTATTGAAAACCTGATTTTTAAATGTAAGTTGAATATTATTGGAGGTTACGTGAAATATAAGATTTAGCAGTGCAGTGGTAAAATCTTCACAGGAGTTCGGTGGTAGTTTTCACGTAGGTAGCGTGTTCGGAACGAGCTCACCAAATTGCAGACAGGTTACTCATTCAATAAGTATTTATACAGGTAGATCCAGACGATGACTCCGCAGGGTAGCAGCTCAACAACAGCGAACACCCTGTGGCTTCCAAATACAACAACGATGAACCAGGTGTCACACGTAGGGACTGTCAGTTCACCATGAGATTGATGTCCACAAGAACATTAGACAACGGATAGGGAGAAAAATAAAAGCCCTGAAAAATTATCAATATGAACCAGTGTTCCTAGACCTATTGAAGACAATTATACCAGTAGTGACATACCTTTGGTTGATGTGCGGGCTTGTACGTGGCTGGTGGAAGAGGTTGAATCAATCCCCTACAATCAGGGTCGTGGTGTTTTGTGCCAAAACCAGAGACCAAAATATACTTCACGTGAAGAAGGCAATTGATTCTGTAGCAATTTTAATTGACACTATATTAAGCAGTCTATGAGAATTGCTACTAGATATCACTTTTACATATTGATCAGTGACAAACTCTACCATTGGAATCAAACTTGTGCTTATAATTCCTTAGTCATTTCGAAAACAAACACAACTTATCAATAACAGGGAAATCCTCTATCACCGATCTATAGCAGATTGTCAATATCATTTGAAGAATGTTAATCATATCTTGTAAGTATCAACTGGAAAGGTCACTGCATGAAAGTTATCACATAACATTTCTACTCTGTATGAATTGTTGGAAGATGGTATTGTTATCATTCTATAATGTTTCGATTTCTCCTGTTGATATGAATTGGAAAAGGACACTGAGTTTCACATGATGTTTGCTATAAACTGATGTCGCCTGATCACACAGTATTCCAGCCACCTTTTTAATAATTTTCATGTAATTAGATCCATTGTTTTGATCATAATTATTATATTTTGACATTTCAAAATTTTGGGGTTATGACGACAAACAGCTGGTAGGACTTTAGCCACACTATCTACTTCGCTTCTCAAATGGTTGGTCGAATAGGATTCGTAACCAATCGGATATTAATGAGATCAGGTGTGGTAGAATTGAAAAGAATGAATGGATCAGTCGTTCCGTGAGTTCTGATTATTGATGATCTAAGGTGAGGAGTAATTCTATTGACCTTGACAGAATAGATGTGAATAAAGTCAAATTGACAAAAGTCCAAAGAATCCGGAAATTGGGAAATGACGAAATATGACGTAACTGAGAATGATACGCAAAATGATGTGCGCTTTGGCTTAATTTTTACTGCAGAGATAGAGATTGACTGAAGATAGAACAATGTGGTGATTTTTGTGCTCCAGCCGGCGAAGTGAATTTAACCATGAAGTCTACATTTTTCTGAAGTAATATAGTGGTATACAGTGCTGTTGTTCCTGATAGATATGGAAAACAGAGTATGACTTCATAACTTTTATTCAAAGTTGTAAATCTTCGTTCGAGCCGGCACAATCATTAGACGACACCATTTTGTATCGTCTCCCGTTCTGCTATAACACTAGGATGTTATATCTTTGAGGTATGTTCACCTTTCAAAGTACTTTTAGTCCTCTCTTCAAGAGTAATTTAATTTTACAGAATCTTCACGGTCGTCAGTCTCTATTCTGGAAATAAGGGGGCCATATGGGGCCTAAACCTCTCATCTTATCTTATCTTACCCTCCATCTTAACCTATGCTGCATTTGAGTAGCATCTTGTGGCATTGTTTATGCTCTCATCTTTCATCATGCTCCCATCCTGGGAGAATTTATCATGCTGTTTTGCTGCTTGGAGAATACCAAGAGCCTATACAACTATAGTTTCAAGTACAGTCTTTGGGCACAGTAATGCTGAGTGATCAGGAACTGCTGTTGGAGGAACAACATTCCAGCTAAGTTGGAAGATAACAGCTAAGTGGTATCTTGCATAGTCTCTTCACCTTTCGTTTATTATGTTGAAGTAATATTTGATATCTGGAATGTCCAGTGACTTCGGTTTTTGGTATAATATGATGATACAATCTTGTTGTGAAGAATCACAGCAGAAAGTCAACAGGTACATCATTTTCTGAGACCTCCTGTTAGATCCTATCAGACTGTTGTGTAAATACTCATTGTATATATTCATAATACATGTAATAAGTAAGTATTTACCATATATCTGATGTTTGACGAATGTCACAAATATCAAAGATTCTACAAGTGCTATTTTGATAGGATTTCTAGATGTTAGCTACCTGGTATATGTGATAGGATATTCATTTGTATCTAATTTCATTATAATTCTAAGTTAACAACTAATAATGATGATCATTTTATTGGTGGTTTGTTCCATAGCCACACTAGTGCCACATGTAAATTTCATGGCATATTGAATAAAATG